TATTTCGTGAAGCAATCAAGAAGCGGCAGAGTTTTACTTGCAAATGAAAACTAAAACACACCACACACACACACACACAAATTTGATGTAGGGTAACGAACAGGCATTTGCCACTGCCAGAAGATTTAAATTCCTGATATTGAAAAGAAGAGGAATTAGACGAAGAAGGAGGAAGGAGAGGGGGAGGAGAGGAGAGATAGAAGAAGGAGAGCAGAGTAAAATCCAAAAAATTGTATGTAAAATTGTATACACAATTGTAAAGAAATAAGCCATTCGTTAATGGCTCAAGGTCTGCTCTTTTTAATCACACTGTATCATATTCTCTTTAAAATAAAAAAATTTAAGAAGAGCACAAGCAAGTAAACATACGTACTGCAGCTAAGAGGAACAGATTTTTTGTTAAAATGAAACGTTGAATAGAGGCGTGAATTAAACGACAAAATCTGTCTTATTCAAATGTAGATATTGGTATAGCTGAAACAAAACTCGCACAGAGAAATGAATCAATTACACACCTATATAAATACCTATACATAATACATATAAAACGCAACATTAGGACATCGTTTGCATTTAGTTATGTAATTGATCAATTTCTCTGTGCATGCACGAATTACGCGCGTAAATTTACATCACGGTCAATATCACATGCTGTTAATCATTGTAGTTTACAAGAGCGTATAAATGTGTAAAGGTTTCGTGAGAAGAGTTTCGCGTTGCAGGTCAACGGTTCTCTCTTACGAATTATAGAGTTATCCTTGTTCACATATTTTTAGAGGTGGAAATGAGGTGGAAAAAAGGAGAGATCATGTTTTTCGTATTCACGCAGTAGTTTGTAAGAAGCGCGATTAGGATCGTCACTGCCAAGGCGCCGCGAGTCGCAAGTCGCAAGTTTAAAAGATTCTGATTCAATGAGTATAAACGATCTCAGACTTTGTTCGCGCCACATAAAACTTATGTCACATTTATCTTTATTTAGACATATTCAAGATTAAAAATCTATCGCGGATAGATCTAGCAGTAAGTCTTATCGCACAGAAGAGGACGAGCATATAATGTGCATATTACACACACGTACAGAAATTCACGTTTCATATGTATAAGAAAGCATGATGTAAAGTGATCTGTATATTAGACGCATGATTTTTATTTTATTACATGTGAACTTGTTTGGATAGGACTTAAGAATCGACGAAATCGATTAATTTCAAATTGACTTTGAACATCTTGTATGTACTGCACACAACAGTAGGTAATCATCACTAGTATCTTAATTCTTACAAATTAGACCTTTTTAGATCGGATGATATCATGTTTAGATAATCTCTTGTCACGGTTATTGGTTACAAAATCCAAACATTAATTATTTTTTATTACTGTTTCATATTTTTAATATGTTACACTGTCCAACAAATTTAAACTTTTTTTTCTGTATAAAGCAGCCAATACAATAGGTGACTATTTTTTATTTGGTAATTATTTTATTATATAATTTTTTTGGAACGCTGAAAACAAATCCGTAAATGAAATTGCTCCATTACGTCATATTTTCGAGATATGTGACGTGATAGAGCAATTTTATTTACGAATTTATTTTTAGCAATAAAAAAATCAAATTCTTACAGATTGCCTCTCGTTCGTGGTCTAAAATCCGTGTCGGACAATGTTATCTTTATATTCTTTAATCTTATATCTAATTTTTCATACACGTATCTCGTATATCTGTCGAACATTATAATTTAAAAATGTCCAAGTATTGGACAGAGTACTATACACTGTGACAATGAGCTATGACTGCACGTAAATATTACGCGTAATCTAAAGTCTGATCCAAAAAATTCCTAATTTCGAAATAAAAGGCATTAATGAAATTTTATTGTTATACGGAGTTTGGTCCAAGTCAATTTACGCGACAATGATATCAAGTAATGTTCATAGCAGTGTTTATTGTGTTAATAAGGATTAATTTTTTATTGTTTGACATATGAATAGAAAGATAGAGTGTGTAACAATATGAAGTACACAATTAGAAATTTTTTGATTAAATTAATTGCTGATTGAGTTAATTCGAGTTTAGTCGTCGGTCGGTCGGTCGCAGGTTAATAAAGTCGTGACTCGATCCCCCGGGATTCTCCATGGTCCTATATCGCTATTTCAATTTGTTTATATTTTTTTTACTTTGTCGAGCAAGTAATTGGAGTTTAATTGAATTTGCTTTAAAAGCGCAGAGTTCCAGATGCTTGTCTATTAATATAAAAAATAAATAAATAAATTCTTCATGTTTCATGGATATACGTACACTCGCGCGGACAAGAAGTCATTGAAATATATATATTTGTCTCTTTTTTTACGAATCTCAAAAGTTCATTTGATACGTAATACTTAGAAGAATTTATTTCCTAAATTATAACTAGAATTCTGTAATGTCCCGGACTTGATTGCTGAAAATCTATAATTTACATGACGTATAGATTTTCGGCACTATCAAGATATTTCAGAACATATATTCTAAAAAAAATGAATCAGTTTTATTGAGTATCAAAGTGCTCGCTAACGAGAGTAGCATATATATTATTTCCAATGTAAATAAATGTACAAGTAGAGAATAGAAAAATGCTGACATAGCAAGATTGAATTGCACTTGTACCGGGCTTCTTCTTTGTTACTGTTCTGAGCTTCTCCTTTACTAGCAGCCGATTAACTGACTATAATCGTTGGAACATGCTAGACAAAGAACGAGGAAACATATAGAAGTTTAACATGAATGTAATTTAATCTCACTGCATTTGAATTGGACATTTTTGCTCTCGATTGTACAAATAAACCCAGTACATTGCTCACGCGAGCGCAATTTCGAGAAAATTAATAATAACATTAATAAAATTTTGAATAAAATCGACGATATTATCCCTTTTTATTTAGATCGTGCTAATGTTACACAAAACATTGTAAGTGATCTTAGCCGAAATATTTCAAAACGTTTCTCTATTTGAGATTTGCCTGGAAAAAAAAAATATTTTTAGACTTCTTATGGTAGATATCGATATGATATATTAATTGGCAAGTACTCTGCACTTTTTTATGAACTTTATGTTATATATGTACAAACACACCCACATATACATATATTTTTTATCTACATTTTGTCTTATATATTTGTGTGTGTGTGTGTGTGTGTGTGTGTGTGTGTGTGTATATAATATATGTACAATTTCTAGATAAAATTAGATCAAATTATGCGCGCATGTTTTAATATTGTCATAATAATAATGATGGCAACAACACATATAATAATATAATATAAAATAAAATAATATAATATAATATGGTCAACTATACACGCTAATCGATAAAACGATGATTTACTATAATTGTGTGAGTCTTGCACATAATACGCAAGAAAAAATGATGTCATATAATAAATCATCACAAGCTATTATCGACTTTTTATTATTTTGTTTTTATCTTTTATTATTTTTTACTTATTACGGCTAAAAGTTTATACATAATGGTTCAATTACTAAACGCGCTCATCTTTCTCTCTCTCTCTTTCTCCCCCTCTCTCTCTGTTTTTAAGTCTCAATTTATAAATAAATATAACAACTATACGTAACAATAAATCTGTTCATTTTAGATCATTTTTACAATTTCTTTGCATTAATGCATTTTTTAAATAAATGATATACCTATATTAAAAGTCGGTTGAAAAATTAGTTTTTTCTCGCAAATACGATTTTCACGCAAATAAAATATAAACGAAGAAAAAAACGAAGCTTTTTGATCAGTCTAACATAATAATTTTAATATAATAATATTGAAATTTAAATTAAATTCGTAAACACGCGCGCGCACACACACACACACAAATTGTGTGCGTTAACTTAATATTTTCGTTCTTTTTTTTCCTATGTAAATAGAACAAAAAGAAAAGGAAAAAAAGCGAACGAACAACCTTTGATTAATATTTTTAATTTAATAAATTTTTAACTCTTAATACAAATATAACTACCTATAAATGTATATTTATTAACATAATACGTTCGTTCGTTATTTTCCTATACATTTCTTATGATTCTAATAAATTAAAAAACAGAAAAATTAATCTTTTAACCGAATATATTATACATATCATTGCAAATTCAGGCTGTATTTAATATTTAATACAATAATCATTAAATTATTTACTCTAATAATAATGGATTGCGCATTAGAGGTCTAAAAAAATAGTCTCGCATAATGTTTTTAGCTCTCTTAGTATAGTATGTAATAAAAAAAAATAGCTATATTTTTTTATTGCATTATGCATAGAATTAACAAAAAAAAAAACGACAAACCCGTTAGGATATCTTTTACGTAATTCTCTTTTTGTACAGTTTTTCTGTACGATAATAATAATAATTATTATAATATACAAATGCGCAATTTAGTATTATTAAGATTGACGACATTCAAAAAAACGTTATAATCTTATCTTTTTTCATATAAATATATCGATGTATGCGAGGAATATTACGAGCACAAAATTTTTTACTTTGGCTTCGATTGCAGAGAAAACGGCACAGAGTAAGTAGATAAACTAATATTAGTATTACTAAAATATTTAAATTCGTAGAACGAACGTGGAAAAAGAATTTGAATTTGAGAAACAAAATCAGAAAAACATCTAAAAAGAATCTAAATTGCTCGCTTTACTCGAGCTAAGAACTATATTGCATCTTCAATTCAGCGTGGATAAAAATAATTTCGGTCCATGTCATAACACTGACTAACGTCTAATGAAAAATAATAATTTCTGGGCGTATGTATGTAAAAATATCTAGCCAGAATCTTTTAAAAATTGAACATTTTCCTATTAAATATTAAGTATCAGGCTGAATTTTTCATTAAATCGATTAAATCGATCAAGAATGTACGTGTTTTTGACTATACAAATATATATCTAATCTTATACTTAACAAAACAAAACACAAAATAGGCAAAGAAAAAGAAACAATTTTTTTGCTCAACTCAATTAATCTTTTGGAAAAGGGGAGGAAAGAGGAAGAAAGAGAGAGAAACAAAGAAAATAAAAGAGTACTAATTAAAATAAACAGATTTGCTATCATATCGAATCGAATGAAATGTAATCTAAGCTCTAATCTAACTCTAGTATTACACAAATTTACAACCTTTTACAATCTATACGTTTAACCGACGTCGCTGCTTCAACCTCTATATAAGTTTTTTCCACTTTATATAATTTTACTAAAATCCAGTGTAGTTTTGGATAATTAATTTTAGATAATACAGGCGCGAAAAACGTTCCTTATTCCTATTAAATATAAGGAAATTATAATGAAATTTTCATACTGAGGGCGCGCACTGTGTCCCTTGATACATCAATTGAATTTCTTTATATAAATCGATAAAAGGTGAAAAAAAAAAAAAGAAAAAAAAGGAAAGAAAAAATATTAAAAACGGAGAAATTGAAGCTACTGAACACAATATTATATATCCTAGTTATTCAATCGCTTCCTTTTTTTTCTTTTAACATTTAATCATACATTTCTTTTGTATCTTTAATAAATCATAAGTTGACGGAAAATTTATAATATTGAAATAACGAAAATTAAGCTAAAAAGTGAGATCGATTTACAATTAAATTTTGGAAAAAATACTTAATTTTTTAAAAGGAAAAAGTATAATAATTTCAAGTTTACTTCAATTTCCCGTGCTACAGATGTGCGAAAATATGCCTTTTCCTTTTTTTAAATTTATTAATACTTTAATTTTCTTTTTGTTTCTCCTCTATTTGTCCTCTTTTTCTTTTGCTCTTCCTCTTCTTCCCAATTATCCTTCGTGTCTTTTTCTTAACTTATTAATATCTTCATTTTCTCAGTTTTTTCCTTCTTTCTCTCCTTTTTCAATCATTTATGAATTTTCTTCTTTCTCTTCTTTTATCCTCGACATGTCCAAAGGCTGACTATCCAAAGGTTGACTATCGCTATTACGGCTTGGAGTATCATAGCTCGGCGTTGCACTGGGCGCGTAAATATTCGCCAGTTGTTCATATTGATTCAAATCTCCACTGTGCTGACTAATCTCTGACATATTGCCTCTATTGATACTTTCTTTCGGGAATAATTCCTGCTCGTACTTCATTCTTTCCATATCGCGGATCTCTTCTTGATCTCTTCTCGTCATTCTCTCTTGGCGACACTGCAGTGTATCGCTCGTAACGTCGTTATCGTCGATACGTTCGGTAGAAATAGTCGTTGTAGAAGGACCGCCAGTCTTGGTGAAAAGATGTATAGGTCGTTGAAATCCTTTGGATGGATGAGACGGTATAGAGACGACTTCGCATTTGCAAAAGCCAACGGTAGATAGAAGATACTGCGTGAAATTATGCGGCTGGAATTCAATACTGTGATAATTTTTATAAATCCGTTCCTGAAAGATAGAGAAGTAAAAGGTGACAGAGATTAGATGTCAATTCAGACGTAATAAAAAAAAAGTAATATACATACATTTAATAGCGTATTATATGTGTATATTATATAATGGTGGGCACTACTTGTGCCCAACCACCCAAGAATATTATCTTAACTGAAAAACTGATCGTAAAAACAAAGCTAAGCAATTACTTACCGTGAGATTCTTTTTCTTGGTATAACTAGCCCAACCCTGAGGTTCCAGTACAAGAACTCCACCAGGACGTAATTGCGCGTGCATGCGTTTGAAAGCTTGTTTTAACCCAGCATCACCAAAGTTCAAATGAATCCACTTGGTAATGGACAAGCATAAGATTGTGTCAAATTGCGTCTGTTCCGCGCATAGAAGTGAATCGTTTTCAAGCACATAATTACCCTAAAATCAAGCATATTTAATATATTTAGATTGTATTTATAATAAAAATATCAGATGTATTTTTAGTGGCAAAAATATTACAACATATTACATACATATGTACATGTATAAAAACGTATAATTAAATACATTACCTGCACAAAAGTGACATTATATGGGAATCCTTTATGTTGCTTGTTTTTTGTAAACCCTGGAATATCTACAGGTCCATAACTAATTGGCATCGACATAGGAAAGAAGCTAGCATCTGAAGAGTCTCTTTTGTCACTGTCCTCGTTGCTCGCAGGACTTTGCACGCAATTAACATAATGTTTCACATTTTTCCGAGCAATATTTATCAAAGTTCTATCGATATCAATTCCTGTAACACTCTTGGCACCAAAATCCCTGGCAACTGATAGAGTAACATGGCCAATATTGCATCCAATATCCAGAATGTCCTTCCCTAGGAACAGTTCCTTTCGCTGTGCAAACACTTTTAATCTAGGATCTACTTCATGGTGAGGATTCCTGTAGCCATAATATCTATTGTAGTTTCCATATTGGTATCTAGCATCTTTAAGCCTAAAATTGGGCATTGCATGCTGCTGCTTCTTTTTTTTATCTTGACTGGGCCTATGTTGAGGTCTGGGTTTCCATGCACCAGGCTGTGGAATCACTGGGCTCACTATTTTATCTTTTGCATCAATCTTTCTCAACCTTTTATCCTTTATTTCTTCTAAACCCTTTAATCGTAATCTATTTTTATCTTTCTGTGGACTTTCTGTCTTATTTTCTTTTAGACAATTTTCACTTTGTGTACTTGGCGCTTCTTCTAATCTAATTTTCTCACCAGAAAGTCTTTCTGTTGAAGATTCATCTATTGTGCTGTCCTTTCCTTCAGTTTCCCTCAATGTTTTTGTTTCGTTGGGATCCACCTTTTTGTATGTGCAAAAAATATACAAAATATATAAAATATTATATTATATTATATTATATGTATGCGTGCTTGCGTAAGTATGTGTAATCACAAGAGAGATAATCGCATCAAGTATTAAACAAATTTCTTTTTTCTTATTTAAATAATGTACATTGCAAAATTCATAATTACCATATCTATAAATTTACAATTTTAAATTATTATCTCTACAAATATGAATTTAAAAAAACTATAAGTAAATATAAATAAATATCTTAAGTTCTTACCATCTTTCCTTCATCTTTTCCAGATCCAGAAAGGGCTCTCTTCCTCTTCCTATTTCTTCGTTTCGAATTTCTTTTTGTCGGTGAAATGAGCTGCTTCTCGTACTCTTCATTGTCATTACAATTGGTTAAATTCAAAGGATCACAAATATTTGGAGGAATAATCACTTCAATAATCTCTTTTTTGTGCTTGGGAGTAGGAAGTGGACTAGATTTTGGAGTCACTGCGTTCATAGCTCGATTTATTTCTTCATCTTGCATGCTGTTTAAATTTAACGGATCACAAATATTGCCTCCAAGTAAGAATTTTGTAGGAGGGATGATGACACCTTCCTTCTTTCTACGTTTGTAGGGAGGAAAGGACTTTCCGTTGCTGCAGAAGCTACTTTGAGGTCGCTTTCTATATAGCTGCTTGAAATAGCGATTGTCATCATGCTTGTTGTGCTTCTTGTGTGAGAGATTGAAGACTTTTCTAGATTTTTCGTTCTCCTTCTTGTTGTTTTGACTCACTTTTGGAGGACGATCTACTTGTATAGAAGACATTTTGCTCAACCTGAAAAATTATAAAAATAAGAACATGACAAGACATAAACATACTGATAAAAGAAGCATAATAAAAATATAAAGATACTTTATTTACAAGTAATAATATACAAGATACACACACACACACACACACACAATTTTTTACACATAAATAGCATTGAAGAAATAAGGAACACCTACCTATATAGATAGGTTAATTAATGGATTGAAGAAAGAAAAAGAAATTGTAAAGATAATAACAGAGAATTGAAGACAAATAACTAAAATAATTAGCTTAATTTCTATAAAACATAATGTAAATATATGTTTAATATAATATGGAAAAAAAATATAATTGTTTTTCATAATATGTGTATATGTGTGTGTGTGATAAAACTATTAAAAAATATTACTAAACAAATTTAAATTAATACATTGCTAAAATTAACAAATTGAACAAATGATCTTGAACAAATAAATTCAGACAAAAATTCAGACATAAATTTAATAATTTATTTATCAAAGTTTCCTGATACATAAATTTATTTTTATATTAAAGATTGCTTGTGCTGATAAAGAAAGGAAATAAATGTATCAGGATGTATAGTCTTCTTACTTGCACTTTTAAAATTTGTTCAAAAGTACTGTTGGAAGAAAAATCTGTTTATCTTTACTTTTTACGTTAATTGACGTTAATTTTCTGCTTTTATTCGTTTATTTGCACTAGATATTCTCCGAATGTTTTGTTGTATCCAGAAAAAAAGAAGAAAAATGTGGAAAGAGACGAAGTCTGAGATAAACAGTATTTTCTGCACTTTTTACACGTCAATAAGGATCGTCCGGCGTGGCCGGCTCACAGCTGTCGTCCGCGTGGCGGCGCGCATGTGCAAGCAGGGCAGCGTGGTGTGCTACTGTTGCCGCTACTGCCGCCGCGGGCCGCCGCCGCCACCGATGTCGCCACCGCGCCACCGCCGCCGCCGCCGCCGCCGCGCCGCCGCCATCGGACCCTCGGCCATCGCCGCTGACGCCGCTGTCGTCGCTACTGACGGCACGTCGTGAATTCGCCATATTCGATATTGCGGATTTTCTTTCCGCCAACGTTCACGCCGCCGATTACAAATATGTATGCTCACCTCGACAAACCAACACTCTTACTCGCCTCTCTGTTTCAATTGCTTGTACGACTGTCTTGGCGATAATCCTTTCCGTTCGTCTCGTTCGCAACTGCGACGTCCATGTAACGCCTGCCCGCCTACGATGGCGAATAACTGCTTGTCGAATGCGAGCGGCGACCGAAAGCTCGCGCCGCACTGCGACGCCATTTTCTATTAGGCTCCGAATAGCAGGGTCGTATTAACGAATCGCGAGAGACCCTGTAGAGAGTAATTTCAACAGATATATATGTATTTCGTTTACAATTGATTCAATTTTCAAATTATTTTAATAATTTCAAAATTTCAGAAAAAGAGTTTATTTTTTCCCGCGAATAGAATATGCGAAATTTATATAATTATATAACGTTGCGAGCTTTATATGTTATTATTATAAATAGTAATGAGGAAGAACAGATTATAATTACCATGATTTATTTTATGCTTTAATGTAACTATACGTTATGTGATAGTACACATATACTACGAGTATATATTACATATGTACGCAATATATGCAGCGTATGGTACGTGTGTCATATCGTTAATTACACACTCACACACACACACACACACACATATATATATATATATATATATATATATTATATATATTATATATTGAATCAGGAAATAATTTGCAATGCGAAGAGAAATAATGTGTAAAGTTCATCTAGCGAGAAAATAAACTAAAGAAAATAAACTAAATAACTGCAGGAGTTATACATTATACATATACACACTCGGAAGTGTATAATGTATCATTCGTTAGATAAGCGCACATATGCATGAACACACGAAACGAACGATTGAACTTGTAGCAATGTTAACACGTGATGAACGTGAGCAACCGTGTTCACGCTCGTGTAAACCCCGTTTAGCGTAGCGGTGGCGGTGGCGCCTTTTTCGCTTGTTAAATTGTCTCGGTCGCGCTTTTCTCTCTCTCTCTCTCTCTCTCTCTCTCTCATTACGCTCTCCTATCTTTCTAGCTAACACTGGAAAATCTTGAATCGGTAAAATTTCGAAATTTTTCCAAGAATGGCCAAAAGTCGTGAAAATCGCAATAGCGTAGAGCATACAAAGCAAACAACGATATGGTTATTCCAAGACCGGAATCGCGAGCAATATGACCACATCGCGAAAATTGAACAAACGACTCCTGCACGAGTAAGTCAGAATCAAAAGTTTTTTTTATCATTATAAAAATTGTGATTTATCCTTAATTTAGTAATTTTATTAGTATATTTATTATAGTAATTATATTTAGTAAAAAATTGTATTATATATTCAGACTACGTCAAGTCTTTTACCTCTCAAAATCAATCACTTGGGAAGCTCTTCGAGATAGTTTTCAATACTGTTTGAGACAATGTTCAATAAAACATTGCAATTATTGCGAGTACGCACGCTCAATAATAAAATATATTTCACACAATTCTGAAAAATCTAGAGCTCTCTTTAACAATCGTATGCAAATCTCAGAAAGAATTCAGATTCTTAAATCAATATTCATATGTATATCAAATTGGAAATGTTACAAATTTATTTTTATTTCCAGAGTGAAGCGTGGGGCAGCTCCTTGCTTCCCTCTTACACATCTCAATTATTTGTAATTTCCCCAATAGCAAGAAGAGCCAATACACCTGTACTTCCAAATGCTCCCATGAAATCGAGGAAACCTTTTTGTAAAGAGGGTTTAAAACCTAAAAAACTTCGCTTTACGGACAAAGAGAAAGATGAAACAGGAAATGAAAACTATTCTCAAAAAAGTGCAAATTTTTCGATAAAAATATTCAAACAGAAAGCAAAATTTTCCAAGCAACAGGATGAATCAACAGGAAAATTAGATTGCGAAAATTTGAGTGCAATGTTACAAATACTTGAGTTAGATAATAAAGAGAATAGGCGATATGGACAGGAACGATATGAAAGAAGAGGGCGAAATAATCGTTCCGTCGCAAAGGAATGTGCAAAAAATAATAATTCTTCGCAATCGTCAAAATTAAACTGCAATTCGAAACATGAATTTATACACTTTCGCATATAAGCTGCCGGAGGATGCGATTATTACGATTATCGTGCAATATACGCGCAATACTAATAATAATAGTAATAATAATAATAATAATAATAATAATAATAACGACAACAACGAAAACAATTAACGATGATGATGCTGATGATTAAATCAGTATATTGCAGTATATTGAACATTAAAAAGTTACTCAGTATGATATCACAATGATAATTAAAATCAATATAATCATGATTATAATTAATTATTAGTGTAAATGTGATTTGATTAAATTAGTAGATAAATAATAAATATTGAGTGATTAAATGTTCATTAATTATTAGATAATTATTAGATACAATTATTGTGTTGTGTATACTTATACAAGATTAAAATCAACGATTCATTTATATTGTCACTATAATGAATTATTAAAATGATAGAAATAATGTATAAAAAAAGTTTCCTATGACATTGTCGCTGTATGTAAGGATACATAATTGAGTAAAGAGAAGACGTTGTCATGGTCACAATCACGAAGGAATTAATGTGGATATGTGGATCCAATGCTGTAGGAAAAACTACAAAAAATGGCGATATTGTGAGAATGTGATTTCCATGATCCTATGGTTGTATTAAAAATTTGATATTGCGAAATGAATTCAAGTATGTGTTCGGATCACTATATCTATATTATGGATACATTAATCGACACATATGAAGTATTATAATAATATATTACTCGAATAATATAACTGTTTAAGTAAAATTTTAAGTAGGGTAAAGCTTGCGCCTTGGCACAATTAGCGTATAATTCCATTATCGATATTGAAAAGATTGCAAAGACTTAAGTAATTGTATTTCGCGCCTGAGGAACATGCAAGGAATTAGGCTAATATATTACGTTTGTCCGTTTTTGTCGTATGACAAAGATTTCAAGCCTTATTGATTTAATTGATTGGCTATGTAGGAAAAAGAAATCCGATAACTTAATTCTCTTTCTTGCAGCCAGTCAATTAACAGTCTTGAAAAATTTGTCGTACGACAGAAAACGGATAAATGTAATAATATCCTTATATGATTCAATCATGAAAAGCAAGATAATGACATTTCTTCCACACCAACTGTGATAACTCAACAAACATATATATATATATATATATATATATATCATATTTTTAGTTTCGCATAAATTGTGCATGAGCACAAAATATTTAATTTCATCACATATATATTATATATGTATAATACTGCACATTATAATAACGTTATATACAATAATAACATTAATCAAGAGCAAGAACGTTTGTGCAGTAGAAAAATTCTTTCAAAACAAATTTTTCCATATGTTTTCTTTTATAATTCTTTCTTTATATTAATTTATTTTCTTATTTTCTCGTAATAGAGAATTGTTTCTTCACATTCTGCTTAAGGACTGAAAATTGATTGTTACGCCATTGCAACCGCGTTGATCTCGAGCAAACGCGTTTATAAAGCGTAATAAAAAAAGGGGGGAGCTAATTATAGTTGCAGTCTATCTTGGAGAACCGAGAGGGCGAAAGAGAACGCAACGACAAAATGAAAATGAAAAGTACTTGTGGTAGAGGAGGGGGGAAGGAAGAGTGTAATCTTTTCGAGTGTGTCGCGTATCCCATCGCGGGGAAGGGCCGCGTACGAAGCAACTTTTTGAGAGAGCCCGCACTTGTTACATCTTCCATGTTACATCATCCGACGCATATACATGTATATTTTATACCTATCTAATAATATCATATTACATTTGTCTTCGAGAAACATCTTAAAAATCTTATTAGAAAAAATAAATTAAAACCACCTATATAGGAGTTAATTGGTCTTACATTTTCTAAATATCTTAAGTTGTACGTTGTACGTACAATATTATTACTATTACCATAAATTGATCCTAACGTTTTTATCTAAATTAATATTAATACCCAAGTAACACACGATTGTCACGAGAAGGTCAAGATGATGTCATCTTGACTGAATTTTGACGAAATTTTTCGTCAAATCTTATGGTCAAGATGACATCATCTTGATCTTCTCGTGACAATTGTGTGTTACTTGGGTATTTTTTATCAAAGATATAATAAAACATTTTTAGATCATCATTAATTTAAGAAACTGCGTCATTAAAAATTAATTATGTAATGTGACAGATTGATTTTTCGTGACAATGATGGAATAACGAGATTTTTCGAATGTAAAATCTTACAATCTTATACTCGCCTAGCAACACGATTTGAAACCGAAGTCACGGGAGCATGTGATAACGCGAGAACGCGTGTACCCGGGCGAGCATATCTCGACGGGTTATCGGCTTTTTTCGGTGACAGCAATGAGTAGCGAGTGAGCGTGGAAAGTGTGTATGTTAACTATGCGAAAGCTATATATCAACGCATGCGGACGCCACTTTGGACCACGGGTCATCGAGCGAGAGATAGATCCGCCATCAAATCGAATGACTGCCTTTCATTCAAAATAATGTATATTAATAGAAATGAGTAGAAGTACGAATAAATGAAAATTACACGCACATATGAAATTAATGTGAAAAATAAAAATATTTTATTGAAACAATATCTATTCACCAGAAAATTTATTTTTATTCATTTTTATAAACGGAATATTTATTCCCAGAAATGAGTTTTGTTGCACCAATCTCTCGCGTAATTAATATATATAAAAAGAAAAAAATTCTAAAGGTCCTCTAATTTCAAAACGCGCTATTTCGATCTTTGACTATATAAGTATATATTTATATAGTCAAAGATTTCGATAGCTACGAAGAAAGCAAGAAAGAAAAAAAAAAAGAATAATGGAAAGAAAAAAAAAGTAAAGGAAAAAAGGAAAGATTCGGAAAATTCACTGTAAGTACTACTTCGAAAACTACCAAGAATATGGCGGTCAATGCCATTGCCTGGATACTAAGTATTAGTCGAGATGCCTGATATTTTCGTCGTGGCCTACTAATACACTTAACGAAGTAAGTCTCGTCTTGAATCATTCCTCTGTAGCCTCTGATAATATAGAATGTTAAAAAATTGAATTATATACCAAAAAGATGTATGTACATGGTCTCGTACATTTTCAATCGATATGAGTTCGGTACAACGATAAACAATAATTAGAAATTCGAAACGAGATATCTTTGCTATCCCTTTTAAAGTATTTCAACCATTTAAAACTTTTGCGTTTGTGCAAATCTATTTTTATATACATGTGTACATGCCTCGCATATACACAATTGCTTCCTCTAATTAATACATATATATAACAAATTTCAAACTAATGATAAAGATATAGGGATATGTCATTCCTTGTCACATTTCTGCTTAAGGAAACAATTATTTATCGAATAATATATCATTATTAAGATTGTGATTGCAAATATCTTGTTTAATTACAATTATAATAAAATTAGAAAAGATTTAAGTGTGACTAAAATATAATAGTTTCCTACGACACATATTTGCTGAAAAAAAAATATTGCAAATTATAGTCAAAGAATCTATTGATTATAAGATATTATAAAATCATAAATTGTAAACTACCTATAATAAATTGTAAAATCCATTCTGAAATCCATTCTATTATCTAACATTATCGTAATGTCAAATGTCTAAAATATTATTTCTGCCAAGGATTCATTTGAGTTTTACGTCTTGACAATTTATCGACAATTTTTAAACAGTCTTTGCACATGGTGCGACGATAGGTGAGGTATTACGGAATCACGCGCGCTTCCATATATTCATGAACACAGTCGCACGCATAGGAAAAATGCATTTGCATGTGAACAGTGTGGGTCTCTTCGGGTCGGCAAATATCTGACTTTGTTTAACGTATAATTAATTTCGAGCTTGAGATGTGTTTTTCCACAATATAATTTTTTAAAAAGGAAATAAGAGTTCGTTGTTGTGACATCTGTTATTGATTATCCTGATTAAAAAATTATTCTATTTTTTCGAACTTACACTTATGCCAAACTTACAAAGACGAAAAATATGATGTATTGTATATATTGTTAATATACGTTATAATAACGTTACAATAACGTAACAATAGTATAATATTAGTCAACAGCTACGTTTGTGCGATAGTAAAATTCTTTCGAAACAACATTATTATAAATGAAGAATTTTTTTTATAAGTTTGACACGACAATTTTTTCACGAAAGATTAAATACAATTTGAAAAAAAAACTAAAATAATTTGTTATCTTTTTTTATCTGCTTAAAAATATAGAATATAACATGAAACAATTTGAGCTATATATCAATGATCTTTTATACATATTATCCATCATTCTTGCTTTGCGCGCATCGAATTTATTTTGCCGTTGCTGTTATCACCAAAGCCTCTGGCCCTATTTCGTAAGAAGAACGAATGACGAATGCGTCTTTCTGATAAAATTTTTTGAATTTAGGTCACAGGGCAACATTACAGGGTCGTCGGGGATCAGGATAAGTCGATAAGATTATTGACGTTGAACGGTTATAAGTGCATCGGTTATGTAAAACGATACGACGAAGACGAGATAGATTCTAGGACGACAAAATGACATGTCAATATGAGATCAGACTCTCATTAAGATATAAATATAAAGACTGTTTGCCCAAGTCAGAAAAGGTCTTTTATTGCATCTCTCCCTCCCCCCCTCGCGTTCTATATCTTTTATTTTGTTTTATTTCATTTCTCATTACACTTTCTTTCTACACTGTATCCTATTTCATTTTACTCTACTTTATTTCTTCTTTCTTTCTTATACTGAATTATTTAATACAATTGTATATATTTTATTGTACTCTACATTATTCTTATTTTATTCTGTAATAAAATAAATACATTTCTTGAAATGCAGAATAACCAGTAACAAATAACGACTGAAAATATACCGGATACCAATTTTCGCTATCTCTTTTTCCCGATATGTGCGTATCGTCATTTTACTTGCGTTTATTGATGACACGTGAACGACAATCGGCGACTAGTCGCGATCGAAAAACAGAATTTGAATATTTCAAAGTTCTATCTATATATATTACAATTCAATCTTCGTCCATTTTGTTTTTGTTACATGAATTCGAATGCAAATTGAAACGAGCTTTGCCAATAATAGAAGCCATACGACAAGAATCCTACGACAATGGACGATCCTGCGTATACGTATATGTGTTTAATTATTGGAACACACGCACGGCAAGAGAGCATGTTTAACCTGCTGATCAAGGGGCGTGGTGGCATTTGGATGTTACGTATATACACAAATGATGTTAGACGCAGACAGAGTAATCATAATAGAAATTAAAAACATTAATTTTTTTAGTATATACACACGCAACAAATTATCTCTTCTCAAAAATAAAATTTCTATGGGAAAGTAACA